AGCAGTCCTGGGCACTGTTATCCTTCAGTCTGTTCTTCCATGGCACCATGCCTACTATCTCGAGTCTGTTGAAATGCAACTTGTTGAAATCCAGTGTCTTAGTTCTGCTGACCTCATGCTTTTCTCATCTCGGGATCATGAATTCTATCATATTATGATCACTTCCTCCCAATTTTCCCATCACCTTCATGTCCTTGACCAGTTCTTCTCTATTTGTCAGGACAAGATCCAACTTGTATCCTTAACCTTCTGGAACAGAAAGTTGTCCTTCATACAAGTTAGGAACTCGCTTGACATTTTATGTTTGGCTGTATTGCTCTTCTAACAGCTGTTCAGAAAACTGGAGTCTCCCATCAGTACCAGCTTGTAACATTTGGATAATTCAAACAAGTATTACATATTTACATGAGTAATGAGGCTATCCACAATTATTTTAAATAAGATGAAAGAGAAATATTTACCTGATGGCATAAGCCAAATGTTAAGAAATATTCCCACTGGACAAGTTATTCCATAATTGACTGTTATGGGCTTTCTCGTCCACATTTCCTCTAAAGCTCTTAATGCTGGTCACTGTCAGAAATAAATCCTGAACTAACTCACTGCCAGACTAATTTAGAGAAGTGATTCCAATGTTCATAATGCCTACTATAATGTCATGAAAAGACCCACTCAGCTTTCTGACTGGGACTTTAAAACAGCAAAGGGAGAGCTGACACCCATATAATTTGACCCCATGTTTTTTCAGGAGACTGCCAACACAGGAAGACTGGGTGTTTTACATTTAGTTTATTTTATCTGCACTTTGAATTTTAATGCCAAATTATCTGCTGCTTTGGCTGCTGAGTATTGTTGCTGCTGCTGTCTGCAATCTTATGGACGTAAGGGGGAAGCATGCGGTGTGAATCAGCTGAGGAATGAATGACCATTATGCTTAACCTATAACTAAGTGTTTAGAAATAAAATTCACAGAAAGAAAACTTACATTACATATCAAGATAAACTTCTTGCCAATTGTCCATGTGGCTGAGGAATTTTCTTGCTTCTAGGCTTATTTAGGAAGCATCACTGCTTGGGATATTTAGCTCTTGATATGGAAAAAACCTTGGATAATAGACAGTGAGTGGTAAGTGGTCTTGCACTGGCTCACGGGGAAATATAGTATAGAGGACTATAACTAAATGCTGTAATTGAAAAGCACCTAGTGACATGAGACAAAAAACCCCCCAGAAAAACACATGGATTTTGTCTCCCTTTAACCATGGAGGAAGTGGCAACTTGCAGAACGCTGTCACCATTGGCCTTTACCAACTTTCAGTGGTGAATTGGTCTAATGTATTCATCTGACCATCACTTTTCCTTCCCCATCTGTCTGTTTCAGGATATGACATATGCACACATAACACATGCTCTGTCACTGTGGCTAAAGCAGGGTCTGTTAAATGTTAGCAGACTGAGTTCTTGGTATTTGTGTTTCTATCTTTAGTTTCAAAGCCAGTGACATGTTTTTAACTGGAAAGAGTTTAGCTAATCATTCATAGGCTAGTACCTATAAAAAAGCTCTATAATTACACCATGAAAGTGCAGAGGCTAAAGCTCTTTCTGTTAAACTTTAGTGCTCTAACATTTCTGGACGGTTAGAGCTTTTCTCCCTTATTTTTCATAGTAGAACCCTTCACTAGGTTTCCATGTCATCCTGGGACCATGGGCAAGGAGGTAATTTGAACCTCCTCAGAGTCAAGAGTCATTTCCCAAGCTGCTCACCAGGGAATGCAGAAATGTATCCCTCTGATTGCTGTTGTCTTCCACTTCCCCATTTGTAACCTAGCTAGGACATGTTGCTTCCCTGCAGGAACTGTGTAGCTAAAATAGGATACACAGAGTAAGGGCATGAAGGGAGGGAGACTGCTTGCTTAAATTGCTACTTTCTATATGCTTGGGAATAAGACATTCAGGGTGCATCTACGCGAGATGCTGACTGTGCAGCAGCCTGATACTACTGTGCAGTAGCACTGTGTGGCAAAAAACATGCTGAGATGTTACTGTGCAGTAGTATTAGGCTACTGTGCAGTAGCAGCACTCAAAAAGTGTTCACCAGCGCTGCTGCGCAGTAACTCTAGTTGCTGCTGCTCAGTAACTCTAGTTACTGCGCATTATTTAGTATGTGCTTATACAAGTAGTAAATAAATGTGCAGTAACTACTGCACAATAGTGTCTCATAGGTGCTCCCTCAGTGTGTCTCATAATTTATATATATATAGCTGTGAATTAGAAATATGGATTTCTATATTATCTGGACTGAAAATAGCTACAGTATGGTAACTAATTTTCATCTGTGGTGTAACAGAAGAAAAAGTGCTGTCAGGGTAATCCTATAAAGTTAGCCCCCAGCCAGGACTATAGTGATTTCTAAGGAGGCTGATGTCAGGATGTGAGGTGGAAGAATAGACTAAATGAGATAAACGTAATGAAATAAAGCAAAAATGGTTTCTGGGAAACCTGGAAGTTTCTCATTAGTTCATCTCATTGCCACTGTGTTAACAACCAACACACTTGTAATTTATGTACGTGTGACCTAAACGGACACAATGATGCAGAGGTGAATCTGAATAAGGGTTTGTTATGATTCTAACTCACCACTACAACCCAGACACCTAGGGTGCCTGTACATGTGTGGGAAGGCTGTTCTGACATGCTGTAATTACAGTGCAGCAGAGCAGACTTGATTAATCTAGTCTGCTGAAGTGTGCTAATTAGCATGCTCCAGCCAGCCTCTGCATCTCATGTATCAGCATCCCCACATTTCAAAATGACAGTGGGGGCACTTTAACTAAAGCTTATTTGACGAGCTTTAGCTAAAGTGCCCCCACTGCCATTTTGAAGTGTGGGGATGCTGATATGTGAGACGCTGCGGGTGCTTTAATTAGAGTGGCTCTCAGACCTCCTCTAATTAAAGTGCCCCTCCCCCCATAACAACAGAATAGATTTCATAGACGTTAGGGCTGGAAGGGACCTCGGAAGATCATCGTGTCCAGCCCCCTGCCCTAGGGGCAGGAAGTCAGCAGGGGTCATAGGATCCCAGCAAGATAAACATCCAAATGTCTCTTGAAGGCGTTCAAAGTAGGTGCTTGAACCACCTCTGGCGGCAGTCTATTCCAAACCTTGGGGGCTCGGACAGTAAAGAAGTTCTTCCTTATGTCCAATCTGAAACAGTCATGGAGGAGTTTGTGACCGTTTGAGCTTGTCATCCCTTGGGGAACTCTGGTGAACAGACGTTCTCACAGATCCTGGCGAGCACTCCTGATAAACTTATAGGCAGCCACCAGATCACCCCTGAGCCTGCGTTTTTCCAAGCTGAAGAGTCCCATAACTCTCAGCCTCTCATCTTAAGGTCTGTTGTCTTGACCTCTGATCATGCGCGTGGCTCTCCTCTGGGCTGTCTCAAGCTTCTCCACATCCTTTTTAAATTGTGGAGCCCAAACATAAACCAGTTTCAAAATGGCCAAAACCAGTTTGAGATACTACATTCAACCAGGTTTATCTGACTTAACTGATTGAGCTCAAACCAGTTTATGCAATGTCTGTCCCACATCCCTTCCTGGTTTAAGTTAAACCAAAGTCCCCTAGCATCCCAGCATGCTCTCTGGGCTGAACTTTCTGCTCCAGCGGAGCAGAGGTGACCCCACCCCTCTGCTCCTCACTCCCTGTCCCACCAGCATGGACCTGCACTTCTCTGTGCTGGCTGCTCCAGCAGCAGGGGCATGGCCAGACCCAGCAGTAGCCTTGGCTGAACTGGCCAGACAGGAGTTTAATTCCCCTGTCCCACCAGCAGGGACCCAAGCCTGGTCTGCTGGGCACTCCCCCCTCACTGCTGCAGCAGTGGGGCCAGGTGCAACCAGGCAGCAGCCCGCAAGAGGAACTGAAGAATATTCAAACTAATATGCAGGGAGCAGATTAGAATCAGATTGACTAGAATCTGTGCTCTCTACAGATTAGTCAGAATATTCTTCAATTCTTGTCTTGAACTGCCATTTGCTTTTGGTCCGAATAGCTAAACAATCCTAAAGAGCAGAGGAGTTTCCATACCAGTGATTCAATGTAGTCCCTTGCCTCTGATACTGACCAACACTAGATGTGTCAAAGGAAAACACAAGACACAGTACTTAGTCATGGGATAAACTTGCCCATAGGAAAAGTTGATGTCTAATCTTTTTCAGCTGCTGGTTTATTCACTTAAGCATTAGGGTTATAGCATTTTTTCCCAATCTAAAGTAACTCTGTATATTCTCATTACCTTTATTAATTGTCTATTAAAGAGAGTAAATGTATGTAATTCATGATTCACTTGACTCTTTGGTAACCCTACAATCAGTTTTGAATGTATTACACAGTCGCTGGCTGTGTGCACAAGTACTAAATAAATGCACAATAACAGGAGTTACTGCACAGTAGTGCCACTAAATGCCTTTTAGGTAATGCTACTGTGCAGTAGTATTAGGCTACTGCACGGTCAGCATGTTGTGAAGACTGAGCGCTACAAAAGGAACCCATACCCTACTCGTATGCATAAAAGAGGCAGAATAGAATCACCCACATTTCAGATTGACTAGACTGATTAACACACATCTCCCAAGAAAGTGGTGTGTGGTTTCTAAGTGAAAAGACTTGACTTATAATTTCAGCTCAAATGCATATTTCTTTAACCCAAGAATAAAAGCTTTGAGTAATTTCTCATGTGACAGTTTCTCAGTGACTAGGTGTTTAACAAAGAATCAAGCCAAGGTTGGGAGTGAGGTTTGTATGCGTGGGCTGGCAGAGCACGTGTGATGTCCACAGAGAGGAAAGGAGTCTGTTACTGCTGTTAACCAGTGGAGTTATTTCTTCATCTTGCATGGAAGGGACTTCCTTTTGGTAAGAAGGTTTTGATTGTCACAGATGACTAGTGTCCAGGAAGGGTTCTTTTAAGTAGATATTCAAGGTGTCTTTTTATCTCCCTCTAGGTCCTGAAACATCTGCGTCATTTAAATTTCACCAACAACATGGGAGAGCAGGTGGATTTTGATGAGTTTGGGGACCTGGCAGGGAATTACTCAATAATCAATTGGCACCTTTCACCAGAGGATGGCTCTGTCATGTTTGAGGAGGTGGGACACTATAACGTGAATGCCAAGAAGGGAGAGAGACTCTTCATCAATGAAGACAAAATTTTGTGGAGTGGATCCTCTAGGGAGGTGAGTGCCCCAGATCACTGTAATCACCTCACAACAATCTCTTCCATGTTTCTGAAAGCTGAGCTATCCACAAATTAAAAGGCTTGTGCTATCTGTCTTTCTCTCCCTATTTATCACACACACACTCACACCTCACATACTCATTTACTGCAATGCCATGAATTATTAAAGGTCTGTTCATCTTAATTTATATATTCATCTTAATTTTGCGAACCAGAAACAGTATTTTTTTTTAACGAGAGCTGAGGTGCTGGTGAACATTTAAGAACTCCATCTGCAGCTCTTTCTCTTCCCACCCTATCCCTCTGCTGGAAGCTAGTCTTTCCTGGAGACTTTGTTTCACCTTACCAGATAGGTGCTTATTACATGTGAACTAAATCTTTCAGC